TCCTGTAAACTTTACATCCCGAACTCTCCTGTAAACTGTACAACCCGAACACTCCTGTAAACTTTACATCCCGAACTCTCCTGTAAACTGTACAAAACGAACACTCCTGTAAACTGTACAAAACGAACTCTCCTGTAAACTTTACAACCCGAACACTCCTGTAAACTTTACAACCCGAACTCTCCTGTAAACTTTACATCCCGAACACTCCTGTAAACTTTACAACCCGAACTCTCTTGTAAACTTTACAACCCGAACTTTCATGTAAACTTTACAACCCGAACACTCCTTTAAACTTTACAACCCGAACACTCCTGTAAACTTTACAACCCGAACTCTCCTGTAAACTTTACATCCCGAACACTCCTGTAAACTTTACAACCCGAACTCTCTTGTAAACTTTACAACCCGAACTTTCATGTAAACTTTACAACCCGAACACTCCTTTAAACTTTACAACCCGAACACTCCTTTAAACTTTACAACCCGAACACTCCTGTAAACTGTACAACCCGAACACTCCTGTAAACTTTACATCCCGAACACTCCTATAAACTTTACAACCCGAACTCTCTTGTAAACTTTACAAAACGAACTCTCCTGTAAACTGCACAACCCGAACACTCCTGTAAACTTTACATCCCGAACACTCCTGTAAACTTCACAACCCGAACTCTCCTGTAAACTGAACAAAACGAACACTCCTGTAAACTGTACAAACCGAACTCTCCTGTAAACTTTACAACCCGAATTATCCTGTAAACTGTACAACCCGAACTCTCCTGTAAACTGAACAAGCCGATCTCTCCTGTAAACTGAACAACCCGAACTCTCCTGTAAACTTTACAACCCGAACTCTCCTGTAAACTGAACAACCCGAACTTTCCTGTAAACTGAACAACCCGAACTCTCCTTTAAATTGTACAAACCGAACTCTCCTGTAAACTTTACAAACCGAACTCTCCTGTAAACTTTACAAACCGAACTCTCCTGTAAACTTTACAAACCGAACTCTCCTGTAAACTTTACAACCCGAACTCTCCTGTAAACTGAACAACCCGAACTCTCCTTTAAACTTTGCAACCCGAACACTCCTGTAAACTGTACAACCCGAACTCTCCTTTAAATTGTACAAACCGAACTCTCCTGTAAACTTTACAACCAGAACACTCCTGTAAACTGTACAACCCGAACACTCCTGTAAACTGTACAACCCGAACACTCCTGTAAACTGAACAACCCGAACACTCCTGTAAACTTTACAACCCGAACTCTCTTGTAAACTGAACAACCCGAACTCTCCTGTAAACTGAACAACCCGAACTCTCCTTTAAACTTTACAACCCGAACTCTCCTGTAAACTTTACAACCCGAACTTTCCTGTAAACTTTACAACCCGAACACTCCTTTAAACTTTACAACCCGAACTCTCCTGTAAACTGTACAACCCGAACTCTCATGTAAACTTTACAACCCGAACTCTCCTGTAAACTTTACAACCCGAACTTTCCTGTAAACTTTACAACCCGAACACTCCTTTAAACTTTACAACCCGAACTCTCCTGTAAACTGTACAACCCGAACTCTCATGTAAACTTCACAATCCGAACTCTCCTGTAAACTTTACAACCCGAAATCTCATGTAAACTGTACAAAACGAACTCTCCTGTAAACTGCACAACCCGAACACTCCTGTAAACTATTCCAACCCGAACTTTCATGTAAACTTTACAACCCGAACACTCCTGTAAACTGTACAAACCGAACTTTACAACCCGAACTCTCTTGTAAACTTTACAAAACGAACTCTCCTGTAAACTGCACAACCCGAACACTCCTGTAAACTTTACATCCCGAACACTCCTGTAAACTTCACAACCCGAACTCTCCTGTAAACTGAACAAAACGAACACTCCTGTAAACTGTACAAACCGAACTCTCCTGTAAACTTTACAACCCGAATTATCCTGTAAACTGTACAACCCGAACTCTCCTGTAAACTGAACAAGCCGATCTCTCCTGTAAACTGAACAACCCGAACTTTCCTGTAAACTGAACAACCCGAACTCTCCTTTAAATTGTACAAACCGAACTCTCCTGTAAACTTTACAAACCGAACTCTCCTGTAAACTTTACAACCCGAACTCTCCTGTAAACTGAACAACCCGAACTCTCCTTTAAACTTTGCAACCCGAACACTCCTGTAAACTGTACAACCCGAACTCTCCTTTAAATTGTACAAACCGAACTCGCCTGTAAACTTTACAACCAGAACACTCCTGTAAACTTTACAACCCGAACACTCCTGTAAACTGTACAACCCGAACTCTCCTGTAAACTGAACAACCCGAACATTCCTGTAAACTTTACAACCCCAACACTCCTGTAAACTGTACAACCCGAACTCTCCTGTAAACTTTACAAACCTTTAACCTTCAACGTTTGTTCTAAACTTCGATATGCTTGATTTCTTTGTTCTCAGCTGCCCGCTTCTCAATTTGAGAACAAAATAACAAGATTAAAATGACAGACATCTTCGATGTGCCGATAAAGTTACATATTTGATTTGCCTTTCAGCATATTCTGAATACTTTAACCTCATTTTGGTAATTGTGAGTTCGCTTTGTTATGCAAGACGTTGTTCTCTCTATCTTTTGTTGAACCGCTGTGTGTTAAGGATATCTATAAAAAAAAAACTATAGGTAGCAGAAATGGACGGTGCCAAGACGTAAAAAGTTCCAGAAACATTTAATGAGTTAAAAGGAATTCTGGGGACGTAGGATCATGGCTTACAATACAAAAGTTTTGTCCTTTCATCAACACTAGATTACTCGACATCCTCTGACTAATGAAAGATTTATTCTACAAGCAACACAACATTCTGTCTTCTAAAAGCATTTGATAGCTCGCAAATTTGCAAATCATTTTCCTGAACAGACGAGATCTCGGACAAATATCAATGATATTCTGCATACTAAAATAGCATCATCTTATCTCAGTATGATGTATTGACAATGTAGACAATAACAAAGCGTATAAAATTGGATTATCAAATGTGAGTAGGTGAGGCTCGGTAACTTGGGAAAGGGAGTACTAGGTATTGATATTAGTCCTTCTTACGTCTATCGTTGATACAGTCTACAGTAGCAACAAGAAGACGGAACGAGATACCTACAGTCACTAGGGGACCAGTTAACATGACTAATAGACGATATCTGTTTTACGTTACAGCGAAGTACAGTCCGTAGGCCAATAAAAGACTTGCAATAAACGGCTGATGATAGAGGCCGATTGGAAGTGTACAATTATAGGAGATTGTGTGTGAAAACGGAAACGAAGACCCGTGGGGGTATGGAAGGGTGTGACTGTAATAAATTGATGTTTCTTTCGTATTTTCATAATTACAGATTAGTGTTTACTTCCGTAATTTTGTTTCAGAGAGTTATCTCATTTTGAATTCATTTCGTCCTCATTCCATCCCCGCTTAGACTGATATACGATTTTTTTTATTACATTCCTGTTGTTGACCTTTTGCTGTTTGCATTACAGTGTATATCATCAGGCATCAAGTACATCAAGCAAGCTAGTTTGTTCCGTTTTATCGATAAATGGCGCTGTCGCAAGTTAAATGATTGCTCCTTGAAATCTATGAAAATGACAAGTGATAGAGATGAGATATTTCTGAAAGCAAATATAAAAGTCAGTGTAATAAGAGAATAGATATCTGTTTAATTCTGTGTCAGTTCATGTTATCATGTTTTGTTTGTTGAATGTACATAGCTCCAGTTAATTCAGTGTAAAAGTAGGTTATCAAGATGGCTTCCAGCGTATAATTCGTGGCATTGTCTCTTTCCAAACGGCATAAAACCTCCCCTCACTCTCCATGATACAACTGATTTCTCCACTTTTTCTCAAATCGAAATCATTAAGTACCGAAATTTCGAACTCAAAACTATTTTTTTAATAATTAAGGATCTATGACTATTAGTGCACGAGTGGTTAAGTATTGTCGTTTAATGACTGAAGTAGATATCTTACCTGTGGCTTTAAAACATTTAACTTACCACGTGATAAACATGTTTTCGGGAGTTAGTGCTAACACGTTGTTAGAGCTGGTTTGTCGTTCTTATTTGTCCACCACCTAACAGCAATTCGTCACAAATCACAGTAAACAACCTGATTTATCACAGTAAACAACCTGATTTATCACAGTAAACAACCTGATTTATCACATTTATCTATTTAAGTATTTATTATTTATTTTATTTTATTTTTTATGTTTTTTTTCGTGTATTCACGAACGGACCATGAAAGAGATGATTCTTCTTGATAAGGGTGTGTACACGATTTGTTTATGAGATGCCATGACATATCAAAAGAGAAGGTGCAGGCGTGTACACAAATCAGACCCTGCTATACTTTGGTTTCCTTAACATGTCAAAAGTATGACAATCCTTATGTTGTAATTACAATCATTTCCCATCAACACTTCCATTTATTTTCTGAACACGAGTTTATGATTTCTTTCTAAAACATGATCCGACGCTGTATTTGGAAATCTCCCAACACTAATTTTACTCCTCGAAATTACCCAGAATTCAATGTGTAAAGGTGCTCCGCAGATAACAACAATACGTCAAGTCAAACTAAACTCTCTGAATGAACATTCAAATCAATCAAAAAAGGGCCAGATATATCTCGGACCGGATGACCATTTTTTTAAATATCTATTTTCTGAACACATGAATATATTATAATCTACACGACATAAACTGCACCATGTACATTAATCCAATGCTGAATTTACCATCTCCCTATAACACAGGTGGAAATTGACATAAAACCACATGTTTAAGTGGTTACCGCTTGCCGTTGGAGTACAGGTCGAACCGGTAAGTACCACTAATGTGTGCTGTTCAGCTGGACAGGTCCAGTAGTAATAAACCATTTATTTATAATACTATCATTATTAAGTACCTAATTAAGATCATTTTTGTCTTCTAAATGTTCCTTGTAAACCTGGGAATCATGAGTCTGTCTATTTTCTCCAGTCTTTCCGTGTTCCTTTGCTTGTTTTGTCCAGTCTTTCTGTGTTCCTTTGCTTGTTTTGTCCAGTCTTTCTGTGTTCCTTTGCTTGTTTTGTCCAGTCTTTCTGTGTTCCTTTGTTTGTTTTGTCCAGTCTTTCTGTGTTCCTTTGCTTGTTTTGTCCAGTCTTTCTGTGTTCCTTTGTTTGTTTTGTCCAGTCTTTCTGTGTTCCTTTGCTTGTTTTGTCCAGTCTTTCTGTGTTCCTTTGTTTGTTTTGTCCAGTCTTTCTGTGTTCCTTTGCTTGTTTTGTCCAGTCTTTCTGTGTTCCTTTGCTTGTTTTGTCCAGTCTTTCTGTGTTCCTTTGCTTGTTTTGTCCAGTCTTTCTGTGTTCCTTTGTTTGTTTTGTCCAGTCTTTCTGTGTTCCTTTGTTTGTTTTGTCCAGTCTTTCTGTGTTCCTTTGCTTGTTTTGTCCAGTCTTTCTGTGTTCCTTTGCTTGTTTTGTCCAGTCTTTCTGTGTTCCTTTGTTTGTTTTGTCCAGTCTTTCTGTGTTCCTTTGCTTGTTTTCTCCAGTCTTTCTGTGTTCCTTTGCTTGTTTTGTCCAGTCTTTCTGTGTTCCTTCGTTTGTTTTGTCCAGTCTTTCTGTGTTCCTTTGCTTGTTTTGTCCAGTCTTTCTGTGTTCCTTTGCTTGTTTTGTCCAGTCTTTCTGTGTTCCTTTGTTTGTTTTGTCCAGTCTTTCTGTGTTCCTTTGCTTGTTTTGTCCAGTCTTTCTGTGTTCCTTTGCTTGTTTTGTCCAGTCTTTCTGTGTTCCTTTGTTTGTTTTGTCCAGTCTTTCTGTGTTCCTTTGCTTGTTTTGTCCAGTCTTTCTGTGTTCCTTTGCTTGTTTTGTCCAGTCTTTCTGTGTTCCTGTTGATATAAATAGCTCTACAGTTACACGTGCTGTAGGTTTCTTTCACTTGTCGGAAAACAACTTCCATCATTTTAATTTTTTTACTTCGAAATCTGATATTTTGGGAGTTTACCATTAGCTCTCGCAACCGTTAAAAAAGGCAGTAGCTATTGGTAATATAGCATAAATGTTGTCAAGAAAAGAGAAAAAAAATAGAAGAAAGTTAAAAATTTGAAAATTTTCATTTGTTAAAACCTTTTGTGATACATTTCCAGACTTAAACTTTTCTCTGAAATACATACATCAATTAGCACCTTCATCAGTACACTCGCTTTATCAGAAGTGTTTGATATGTTGGCATATATCTCACAGGTGAATGTTTAAGCCTATAGTTCCATATTCACACATTGTATATATAAATATATATATGTGTGTGTGTGTGTGTGTGATTACATATATCACGATGTCACGGTTCTGATTGTTGAAACTAACTGTGACCAGTTACCACGTTACTGCCGCATTGTCGCCGCAGCATGACTTAGGTAATTCAAGGTATTTCCCTCTATGAATGTCGATTTCGGACAACAACCCGAGAAAGTGAGGTTGTGATGTAACAGAAATCATGGTTACGAAATTACACTTATATGTCAACAACCAACATGACAGTATCACCGAACTCGTGATATACTGATATCTTGACTGGTGATATACTGTTATATTGACTCGTGACATACTGATATATTACCTCGTGATATACTGATATATTGACTCCTGATATACTGATATATTGACTGGTGATATACTGATATATTGACTCGTGATATATTGACTGGTGATATACTGATATCTTGACTGGTGATATACTGTTATATTGACTCGTGACATACTGATATATTACCTCGTGACATACTGATATATTGACTCCTGATATACTGATATATTGACTGGTGATATACTGATATATTGACTCGTGACATACTGATATATTACCTGGTGATATACTGATATATTGACTCCTGATATACTGATATATTGACTCGTGATATACTGATATCTTGACTGGTGATATACTGATATATTGACTCGTGGTATACTGATATATTGACCCGTGATATACTGATATATTGACTCGTGATATACTGATATACTACCTCGTGATATACTGATATATTGACTCGTGATATACTGATATATTGACTCGTGATATACTGATATATTGACTCGTGATATACTGATATATTGACTGGTGATATACTGATATATTGACTCGTGATATATTGACTGGTGATATACTGATATCTTGACTGGTGATATACTGATATCTTGACTGGTGATATACTGATATATTGACTGGTGATATACTGATATCTTGACTGGTGATATACTGATATCTTGACTGGTGATATACTGATATATTGACTCGTGACATACTGATATATTACCTGGTGATATACTGATATATTGACTCCTGATATACTGATATATTGACTCGTGATATACTGATATCTTGACTGGTGATATACTGATATATATTGACTCGTGGTATACTGATATATTGACCCGTGATATACTGATATATTGACTCGTGATATACTGATATACTACCTCGTGATATACTGATATATTGACTCGTGATATACTGATATATTGACTCGTGATATACTGATATATTGACTCGTGATATACTGATATATTGACTCGTGATATACTGATATATTGACTCGTGATATATTGACTCGTGATATACTGATATATTGACTCGTGATATACTGATATCTTGACTGGTGATATACTGATATATTGACTCGTGGTATACTGATATATTGACCCGTGATATACTGATATATTGACTCGTGATATACTGATATACTACCTCGTGATATACTGATATATTGACTCGTGATATACTGATATATTGACTCGTGATATACTGATATATTGACTCGTGATATACTGATATATTGACTCGTGATATACTGATATATTGACTCGTGATATACTGATATATTGACTGGTGATATACTGATATATTGACTCGTGATATACTGATATATTGACTCGTGGTATGCTGATATATTGACTTTCTACTGACCACGTCTAGTCCCACTAGACATACACTTTAACTTGTAAGAAGTTATGCTTTACTTGACATTGTGAAGTATAATGTTTGTACCTCACGCTAGCGTATGTCCCTAAAACACCCCGAAACCCTATATCAACAATCAAATAATGGTTTTTACTCAGTATGTCACTAACATTGTTAATATGTATTCCTAGTGTCAATTTTGTTTCAACAAATCTACCAACGCTATCACGTAAATATCTGCCAGGGAAAATGTCATAACTTTTGCATCATTCCTTCTCTTTTTTTTACGTAATGACTGTTCTCTGAAACGATACCACCAATTCTATCAATACGTTCCACCAAGAATAACAATTGCTCTATCACCAATGTTTTAGTTAACCAGTGTTGTGCTTCAGACTGTCTGGCCTTGAGATATGGTTTGAACTACGGTCTATCGGCACAACAGAATGTTCGAGACATTCGGCAACAGACCGAAAGATTCTATCAAATGTCGTGCGGTGGAGTTAAAAGCGAGGAAAATAATATAGATTTATATGTTTTATACTTAATCCAAAATAACAGCATTTTACAATAACATCAATTGTATTTCGAAGGTTTTAAGAAGAAATTTTAAACATCCAATTTAATTTGTCGACGGTATGCCCTCTCTATACCAGACAGTAATCATTGTCCATTTTATCAAAATCAAGCAGAAAGTATGAACGCTTAATGGACGAGAGATCGAATGATTCAAATTAACAAGCTTTCCTATGAGATGCTTCGGACAAACTCTAGATAGAACTGTGCACCCTAACATTATTCTGAAACAACATTAACTGTCGTGTCACTAGCGATCACACATATATCTGTGCCGATGCAGTATAATAACGATCATCAATAGTCTGTAGGGCAGAGTAATCAATGCCCGACTCATCAGTATCTTGGTCATTGTGTTTATTATTATCACTACATAAATCAGTATCCGCTGTAGTTTGACCGTTCTTTATCTAAGGCTAAATCTTGGACATATCTACCCTTCAGACGTAAACATATCATTCCTCCGATCTTGAGGACGCCAAGGATGTTTTCAACAACATACTGTACTACATTTAAACGTTAAAATACAACCCAGTGGGAAGAAATCCTATTCTAGACAACTAGATACTTAGTTCAAGTAATCATTTCTTAAAATAGAAAACAAATTAGGTGTTACAAATCGACAATATCAACAAAAGAGAAACACATATGTATATCAAACTCTAATAGTTTCTAATCATCGTTAGTAAGTGTCGCGTTCAAAAGCTGATGAAGAAAGGACAGCCGCGCTAGGTCTATAATACATAGGAGTTTAGTTGTTTATGTGATAGTGTTGACAGTTATTAGATCAATTTGTATCATATCAACTAGGGATAGCACAGTTTAAAATGTTGCTATGATTGGGTCGGGGATATTAAAGTATTCCTTTTTCTCTTTAACTTTAGAAAGAATACTGAATTAAAAAAGAAAATAGTGTTCGCACTTAAACAAAAATCTCTTTTCTTATTAGAAAACTGTATATGTATTTTTCACTGTTTTGCTAATAGTTACGGTGGTATATTTTGGAAAGGAATATAGGTATGAATGACCGAGAAATATCCACAGACCTATGTAATAATGGATAGGTATATATACATGACATAGAACAGAATATTTACACACCTATGTAACATTGGGTGGGTATATATACGAGACAGATCGGAATATTTGCACACCTATGTAACATTGGGTAGGAATATATATGAGACAGATCGGAATATTTACACATCTATGTTACATAGGGTGAGTATATATATGAGACAGATCGGAATATTTACACATCTATGTTACATTGGGTAGGTATATATATGTGACAGATCGGAATATTTACACATCTATGTAACATTGGGTAGGTATACATACATGACATAGAACAGAATAGCCATGTCTACCATTTTGAATATTTGACGAGGCCGAAAAATAACCTGAGTTTGATGTATCCCCTTCCTTGACATTCCAACAAGTTTAAGCTCTTTTTTTTCAGCAAAGGAACCCGAGAAGTTTAAAATATGTTTTTCAATATAGTGGTATTGGTGGCCATATTGGATTTTGGACACTCTGAGAAATCACAACTCGTTGTGAGAACTATCTCAGGATCATTTCAAGCAAGTTTCAGCTCAAAACCACTGGTAGAACGGGAGAAGAAAATATGTATTGTTTAGGGAATCCCTGATTTCGCGATCATACTATAAATAGTATATATTGACTTTCTACTGACCATGTCTAACCCTTTTTCCACTAGACACACGCTCTAACTAAAATAAGTTATGATGTATTTGACATCGTGAAGTCAGTCGATGGAAGCTAATTTAAACCTAACCTATATATGGTTACATAGATTAGAAAGTAGCTCTAAATGGTAACCTATTTTACAGACCAATAAGTTAAGGCGTCACTACTTATGTTAGAAATTGCATTTTGTTATTCTATTCACCACAAGTGCGTTTATTTATAGATGTTATTGTTATGTGTAAATATTACTTTCTCATTCAATGTTGAAGTTAGATGTTCCAGTTCCGAAGATTTATATTTGCCTTTGTATGAACATGGGAAAGGAATTAATATAAGGTCTAATATTGTTTTCCCATCCCATAAAATTATGTGTATCTGTCAATCTGCTGAATATTGTTTAAACAAACCTAACAAAATGATCAGCGTTAGAACATGATAATGGTACTGGAGAGTGTATTTTCAGTGTAAATGTTGTAACAATGAATATTCCTAAGTATCTATAAACCTATCTTACCTATCAGCATTGTCCTATATTTACTGGTACTACATTTCAGTGTGACTCAGGTTTAGTGTTCTCATTACAATGACAGGAATGAGACAAGTACAGTGTACCTCTGGTAGATACGGGAATGACTCGAACGTCACATCGTCACACAACAACCGATAATTCATTCGATCTAACGAGGTAGTTATCCTCTAAATGAGACTACATGACAAAC